TTATGCAATCAGACAGTACGTCGTCACATCGATATCCGCTACCCATCGATAATCCCGCTGTACTGCTTTCGTGTATGCTTTGAGGTATCCTCGTAATAACTCATATTAATACATATACTAGTTAAATATGTGTTAGTGACCACCTCTATATAACGATCACCTGCCTATAGTGACTGCTTATAGAAACCTGTGTATAAAGACCACACGTTTTATGTAACCAATCTTATATTTGTGTTTGTCGAATCACCGTGACAATTGCTTAGATACGAAAATAACTTGAATGCAAAAATAATAATTAGCATTTAGTTTATAATGTTTAATTTTCTCAAATAAATGAGTTGTTATTGTAACAGAACCAGTATCTTATGATTTTCTGGACAAATATTATGTCAAATGTACGAGTTAGATTATTACAAGCATAGACCCTCAACAATTGTCTATGTTACAAGCAAGTGCTTTGTATGTTATTGTGGCGAGTACTGTATCCTCGGGGGCGGAGCTACGTCACAAGTCGTTCCACGTTGCTAAGACTCGCACCACTGTACCATGTATTTCTACGGGCTCTGCTCTGCGGAACGCCGGTCGAAGAGCCGGTGAAAATAGCAAAATTCGAGAAAACAACACAAACTCAACTTTGAAGTAATCCTGAACAACTAAATGTTATATGTTGCACACGCAGGGGTATTCTTGTTACACTGTTCAGGAGGGTTTCAAAAACCACCTCAAAGTACCGTTTCAGCCTCTGTTTTCACCGTGATGGGTGCCAGGCGATGGAAATGCCCGGATGTCCGCCCCGAGAATACGTAATTATGTAAACTAGCAGTTATGTAGAATGTACAATGTGTTGTGGCACGATGGACAAGTTCAAAATTATTTAAAGCGAGGTAGTCGTCATCTGCGCATGCGTCAGGTGGCCATAACGTGTCTTTGTTTACAAACAAGCGTCTACCCATGAGCCTTTTAGCGTGTGTTGTTATCGTCGCTTGGGACTCAATTCCCGCGCGGCGCAGGTGACGACCCTCCCGCTTTAATAAAAGTAAGTTTACCCAGAAATGGCTAAACACTGCATATTTAAAGTGTATCAAGTTTGATATCTTGATTCACCACCTCTTTTTGAAGATAGAAAATTTTATCCCGATTTTGCATGTAAAACCACCAAATTCAAGCATATTCAGGCCGACATGTTATCCATCATGCATTTTAAGTTTTAATTGTGCTGGACATTAACATTATATATCAAGTTGTGATAGACTTGTTGAAATTGTGCGATATGCTTCTGAAA